CCAGAAGACCATCAGCATCAGCAGCTGATGAGCGCGAGCTGAACGCGTTCTACGAGGAGTTGGAGGAAGTGATCTACAACAAGAAGTCCTTTTACAAATTCGTTGGTGGGGACTTCAACGCAAGGATAGGAACTGCTGCAGGAGCTGAGAATAGGACTGGAAGATTCGGATTAGGACTCCGAAACGAAAACGGCAGTCGTCTCGTTGGGCTCTTATCCGCCGCCCGATTGTTTCATTGAAACTCCATTTTCATGAAGAAAGAACACCGCGGGTGGACGTGGGAGTCACGCAATGGCACGACTCAGCGAGGGTCGATTACATACCCACCTCATCAACCGAAAATGGTATCTACTGGATGTCTCCGTAGTCCCATCTTTCTGCAGTGGTTCTGATCACCGTCTCCTTCGAGCAGAGGTACGACTCAACCACAAGCTGAAGAAAAGTGTATGCCATAGCTCGAAAAGGAGGAAGGATTTCGTGTATTACTCTGCCCTGCTTACGGAGTCTTTGTCTTGATATGACTGGCCTGTTGTGGAGGACACAACCGAGGACTACAGTTTACTTCTTAAAGGACTGGAAGCCTGAGCAGAACGAGCCTTGAAGCCTCGCTCAACACACTTGGAACGCATTTCGAACACCACCAAGGAGCTGCTGAGAAGAAGGAGAGCTTTGAGGCTAAATTCAAAGGCACCACACTTCGAGCGGCTCGTGGCAAACACCAGCTGTAGAAGAGCTTTCCAGCAGAATCTTCAAAGGTACAGGCAAGCAAAGATTTTGGAAGCAGCACAAAAATGGACAAGTCTGAAGAAATGCCGAAGGGACCTCCAGGGATACCATGTTCCGCTGACTGCATTTCTGAAGGAGGACGGAACTCCAACACCTTCCCGTAGAGAGATGTAATTGATAACGGAAAGATTCTACGCTAATCTCTTCCGCTTGTTCCCATGCCAGACCCCAACATCCCCACCGTGCTACCATGATTCCCTAAAGTACGCGCCGCAATTGACACCATTAAGGCGGGCACAGCCTCAAAACTGGACCACATCTCGGCTGATTTTCTACGGGCTGGCGTCCATCGTCTCCACGAAATTCAGCGGCACACTTGAAATCATACTTGCAGAAGGAGAAAATTCCGGATCAGTGGAGGACGTTACGTACCGTTTTTCTGTACAAGAAGGGCGATCGTGAAGATATTCAAAACTACCGTCCGACCTGCCTGCTGAACGTGCTGTACAGTCTGTTCACGAAGACCACTCTCGCTCGTAAATCAAGGACACTGGTTGAGACCCAACCCCAAGAGCTGGCTGGATTACGCAAAAACTTCAGCTGCATGGTCCACATCCAGACGGTTTCGATGGTCATAGAGGTCTGCGGGGAATACTGCCTGCCTCTCTTCCTTACCTTTGTTGACTACGAAAAAGCATTCGACAGTGTCGAGACGAACGCCATACTGTCTGCATTAGTCGACCAGGGAGTGGACGGATCCTGTGAAGATTTCATGACGTGCAGCTTTTCCGTCGCCCCTTTCAATACAAATGGAAAAGGGAGTACGTCATGGCGACACAGTTTCGCCAAAGCTGTTCACCGCAGCGCTGCAGTGGATAATGAAGTCACTCGAGTGGCGAAAGAGGCACACGAGTTGGTGGACGATTCCTCTCCAATCTTCATTGATGATGGATGACGTCGTTCTCTTTCCGAGGAGCACCGCTGAAGCAAAGACGATGTTGAAGGAGCTGAACGAAGCAGGGAGGAGACTCGAACTGCGAATAGACATAGAAGAAGACACAGTTCATGAAGGAATGAAATGGCAAGGCTCTCCCATTGCGGAGACGGCTTCCTACGTGTACGTCGGACACTCGCTGAACATGGAGAACGATCTGGAAGACGAACTGAATAGGAGGAGTAAAGCAGCTTGGGCCGCCTTAGGGCCTCTGAGGGAGGCCACGGACCACCTGACGAACCCGGAGCTCCATGCCCATCTGTTCGATGCGATCGTTCTCCCATCCGTTACGCAGCTAAGACGTGACTGATACTGCCACCACGTCGAGGGGGCCACGGACCACCCACAGAGCGCTTTATAGGTGTCTTCTGCAGCTATAACCGGCGAACCCGACTTCAAGCCGGACTTTGCAGTTGTGGTCTTAGGACGATGTTCCATCTACGCGACCCAGCGGAATATGTGTCGAAGATAAAACACCGATGGGCAGGTCATATCGTAAGAAGGACTGACAACAGATGGATGAAAAGAACCTTGCAGTGGATTCAATTCAGAACCAGGGCTAGCCGCCATAATTTGGAATGAAACATTGATTCTCGTGGTTTGCTTATGAGATAAAAGAAGTGGATGATTCGGGAGTTGATATTTATTCCAGTCATTCTTATTGATGTGGCTACGCTAACCTGGTTATCCAGACCAAAGTTTCATAAATTCACGTCGGAAACGATGCGCAGGAGGTCGGGCCGATGTGCAGGACATTGGTACCACCGTGCAGGAGGTTGGTGGGGGTGGAGCGTTTGTACCGTGTATAATATACGACGCCTAATCAAAAGCAGATTAAAAACATTGACTGGTCGATTGATTATCAAACAACAGCCAGTTAAGAATTCGATGATTTACGATTGCGCTGAGATAAAGCAGCATGTATGTGCTGAAAGGAAATAGTGCGAGCGAAGCCAGCACTCCAGCAAGTCTGGAACTCCGGCGGAGCCAAACGGACAGACTTGTGTTTTAATATGAGGATGAAACAGAGGCTTTAACAACGTGAAACTCTGCCAAATGGAAAGCGAATGTATAAATTTTTATGATAACCAAAAAAAATTGCGAGACATGCAAGAAATACACAAACGTGGATCAAACCGACCTCAAAAGCGAAAACGCAGCGATTGAACTTGAGAACAGCCGCCGTGAAGAAAAAAAACTGAGCAACTCTGAAACCTCTTTGAACATCCTAACATAATAAAAGGATTATGCGTCC